GGCTTCCCGCTTATGCAAATGAAGCCCGGGAAATTCAAATCCCGGGCTTCATTTGCAAGTGCGGTATGCCTACATTACCCCGCTAGTTCGAACTAGCGGGGTAGTGTAGACATACCCTATGTGTGATAAAGGGAAATATGCTAAAAAAATAACAAGTTAGGAATCTTTTAGAAGTTAATTAAGTATTCCTGAAAGTTATCAAGTTGCACTGGAAACCGAAGTCCCCTCTAAGCACAAACTTCGGCTCAGTCCTCCAAAATCTTTTCTGCCTTAAGCATGTTCTGAAAGGTTCCCTTTTACAATGGAGAGGATGGTAAAGTCTCCATGACCATTCAGTCCTTCATCTTTCTGGTTGTACTTTCAATACTTGATGCCTGTTGTGGTAGTGAATGGTGATTCCTGTGATGTTGATGATAATACACTAGGGCTACGTCTAGACTGGCATGATTTTCTGGAAATGCTTTTAACGGAAAAGTTTCCGTTAAAAGCATTTTCGGAAAAGCGCATCTAGATTGGCAGGACACTTTTCCGCAAAAAAGCCCCATCGCCGTTTTCTCGATCGGGGCTTTTTTGCGGAAAACAAATCTCTGCTGTATACACTGGCCCTTTTGTGCAAAAGTTTTTCGGAAAAAGACTTTTGCCCGAACGGGAGCAGCAGAGTATTTCCACAAAAGCACTGACAATCTTACATGGGATCGTCAGTGCTTTTGCGGAAATTCAAGCGGCCAGTGTAGACAGCTGGCAAGTTTTTCCGCAAAAGCAGATGATTTTGCAGAAAAACTTGCCAGTCTAGACACAGCCTAGGAACCCAGAGCTACCAACTCTCAAGAGCAGAGACAAGCAGTTGCACAAGTGTGGTTGCACCATGGCGGGGAGGAGGAGGAAGATGAGACCCAGATGGCATTTCTCCCTCCCTCCACCTGCCTTCTCATACTCAGAACTCTTCAGGAGAGAGCCTCTAAGGACTCTTTGTTTGGGGCAGCCTACATCACCTATGTAATTATAAGTAAGAGAGAAATCCTAGCCATAGATTAAAGTCATCAGGAGTAAAGTCTAAGAGTTGCAGCTGGGATCTTTGAACACTGATAATATACAACATCGGTCTACTATATGCTGCAGTTTTTACTTAGGACATCTTTCCTCTCTATTAATTGGATCTTTATTCCACTTCTTTCCCCTCCTTCACAATCTCTTCAGGTCAGCCTTAATTCACCGAGTCTACACATTCCCCTCTTTGTTTCCCCCCTCTTTCCTTCCCTAATCACTCTTAACCTCTCTCTTTAGTTTTTCTGTGGCTATTGGCCTGCCCCCTCAGCCTAGGAATGGGTGAGACCATGTCCAGATTCTGGTTCAGGCCCTTTTCTCAGGACTTCAGCGTTATTTCTTCCACATAAAATAAGCACAGTCCAGCAATCATCCCTTCCCCCAAACCCAGGGTCTTCTGCAGAAGACTCATATACTTCCCATGGATTTCCACTTTGTAGGTCGCTTGCCTGAGAGTCATACCCTGTTCTAGTGCCTCTTATAGAAGCCAACACCTCTTTAAGGGTTAACCACCCTATCAAAGTACCTTGCCCCTTTCTTTGTCTTTCTGTTTATTGAATCCCCTTTCAAGAAAATCTCCTCCACGCAAGTAGATTTAATTTTTGCCAACAGATACTGTCGACAAAGCTTCTGTCGACAAAGAGTGTCAACAGAACTGGATGCAGTCTAGACAAAGCAAGCCACTTTGTCGGCATGAGAGTGTAGACGCAAAGGACAGTGTAGATACAATAACGCCTTCTGGCGACAGAACTCTGTTAACAAAAGGCGTTATTCCTCGAAGAATGAGGTTAACCGCCGTCGACAAAACTGCTGAGTACTGTCAACGTTATGTCGTCAGAACTCGGCGGTAGTGTAGCTGCAGGTATAGTTTTTTCTACAAAAGTCCGCTTTTGTCAACAAAGCCCTGTAGTCTAGGCACACCCATAGAGCTGGAAGGGAGCTTGAGAGGCCATTGAGTCCAGTCTACTGCCCTCTCAACAGGGCTGAGTATTCTCTCTAGCAGATTTGTCCCCAATCCCTAAATGGCCCCCCTCAAGGATTGAACTCATAACCCTGGGGGTAGCAGGTTAACCCTCACACCCCTGAGCTATCCCCCTAGCTAATAAACAATAACCAAAAATTGTATTGTGAAAGTAAAATGATATTTGCAGACTCTCATATTATTCTTTCTGATTCACAGAATCATAAAATAATAGGGTTGGAAGAGACCTCAGAGGATCATTGCGGTGAACCCCCTGCTAAAAGGAGGACCAATCCAAACTAAATGTCTAAGAACCAGAATGAGACCACCTCCAGTATCTTGAAATAGCTACCCCGCGCCTTTTGAATGCATTTGCTATTTCAAAATGTAGTGGATGCGCTATTTCACAATCCCTGTAAACCTCATTCTACAAGGAGTAAGGGATGGTTTGAAATAGTGCTTTATTTAGAAATGTAGCACTGTGTAGACAGCGCCAAATTACGAAATAGCCTATTATGAAATAGACTCGAAATATGCTACGCAATTTGTGTAGCACAAATTGAGTATCTTATTTTGAGTTTCAGGTGCTATGCAAAAACACTTTTAAGAACCTTGAATCAACTGGGGTTAGACAGAGGGCATTACAAAAACTCATACTTTAGTTCTGGTTTAAGTCACTGATTCCAGCAAAGCACGCTTGCCATTAAATTTACAATGATTTAGCAGGACTACTCATGCATTTAAAGTCACACATATGCTTTGCTGCTAGGCTTTTTTAAGGCAGGTTTAAATATGCTTCTATGTGTTCAGTGTATATATGTATACAGAGCTATACAGAGAGCGTGACAACACCAGTTTAATAAATCTTCCTGGTGGGAATTTTTTAATGATATTCAACTGAAATAAAATGTGTGAATCAGTTAAATAAATGAAGTACAAATCATTTAATGAATAAAAGCTTTGATTTCTTAGGGCTAATGGAAACTTTATGAATTGCTATATTTTAGGATGAAATCAAAGGAAGTTGATATCTGTCACAGTGAACTTCAAAAGCTGGAGTATGAAAATGGAATATCTAAATCCAGGTTTATTTCAGAATTGTTTATATTTTATGTACAAATGCATTATAGGTGAGAAAGGGGGTCAAATTATTTTTAATTTAATTTAATATTGCTCTTTTAATCACAAATCTTTTTGGTACTTTCAGTTTATATTTTTTCTTAATTGTATTTCATCATTCTAGTTAGGTTCACAAAGATGTTCTGCATTCTTTTTCCTTTATTTTTTATTTTTGTATAATAATATTCTCTTTTACCTATAAAGAAAAATGCATTCAGCTGTGATGTTTTAGTGATTCTTTTATTATTATTCTTTAGACTTACTAAAGATCTTAAAGAAAAAGAAGAGTCTTTATTAGTTTGCCAACAAGTATGCAAACGTTTACAGGAAGACATGACAGAGAAAGAAAGGCAAGAAGAAGATCTAAGAAGAAGAACTAGTTACTCAGAAAATGAACTGGAAACAACTAAAACTCTTCTTAGACAGAGAGAGGAAGAAGTGGTAATGCTAAAACAAGAAAGGTAATCAGAAATGACTCACCACGAGTTGTTTTGCATAACCTGATTTTCTGCCTAGTTTTCTTTTTGAGAATACCTTGAAATAAAAAAGCCCCTTAAAAGTCAAATCTTCAAACTTCCTTATTTTATAAAAAAAAATATAAAATCACGTGTATTATCTGCCTAACATAAAGAGCATGCTATACTATTATAAAATAGCATAATGTGTTTTTAAACCAAAAATGTTAATCATTGATATTTACATTTATTGCCATTGAAATTAAAGAACACCTTTAGTTTAGAAGCAGTTGAAGAAAAACAAGATGTTATCGAAATGTTGTATAGTTGTATCAGTCTTGTTTCTGTCATGGAATAAGAATGTTTCTATGTATTGTTTGTAAGTAATGCTTACTTTTTGTCATTGCAAAAAAATGAGAAAAATCATGAGTTTGTTATAGTTCAAATTCTGAAGAGTCATAACAACAACAAACCCCCCCAAACAAACAAAGAAAAAGAAGAGCCATTTCAAACAATATTTTAATTAAAACTATGTTTATATTCCAGTAAACTGGCTTAATATTTTAAAAATATATGAAAACAAAAAGTTAGCATGAAGTTAGATATGTTCCATAATACACTGACCAGTAATGTCTTGTTTTGATTAAGCATGTTACACAGCCTTAAATTATTTAGTTTTATAGATTTTTCTTTAATCTCTTAATACAATAAATGTTTATACGAATGGTAGGAATGTGTTACAGATACCTAATTAATGGATTACAAGAGCATAAAAATTGCCATACTGGATATTGTATCCTAATGGCTAGTATCAGATGCTTCAAAGGCCACATCTCCACTTGCTGTGCTGGAGATTGATCTTCTGGCATTTGATTTAGTAGGTCTAGATAAGTCCCGCTAAATCGAATGCTATGGGTGGCTCCAGTTGGCACCGGTACTCCTCACAGTTGTGAGGAGTAAGGGGACCTGATGGGAGCATTTGCTCCTGTTGGTCTCCCACTGTGAAGACAGTGCCAAGCTGGCTTAAGGTAAGCCAACTCCAGCTACGTATTTTAGCTGGAGTTGCGTACCTTAACCCGACTCTCTGAGTCTAGTGTAGACGTGGCCAAAGAAAGGAGTAAGAAACATCATAGACATATAGAGGGCAGTTAAACAATTACCTCTTCACAGTGAAAATTTTCTTCCTTAGCAAATGCTCCCATTGACTTCCCTTACTCCTCGTGACTGCAAGGAGTACCGGCACCAACCAGAACTGCCTTCAGTGTTCAGTTAAGTGAGTCTTAACTGGACCTGCTAAATTGAACACCAGATCGATCTCCAATGTGGCAAATGGAGACGTAGCCTTAGAAGTAAGAAAATTAGCCTTCCAAAGATCTAGGATTTTCATTATTGTTCTGATGATTTTTTTTTTGTTTAGATAAATAGCCAATCCTTACGAATCTTACTAAACTGTTGGTCTCAGTAATACCATGGCAATAAGTTCCATTGGTTAATAAAGTTACATATGTAATTTGAGAATTGTCATCACTTTTTATTAAACCTTCTTGTAGCTTCCAAACAGCAAAAGAGGGTGTTAATTCCTTTTATTGGCCAAAAAATACTGCATTTTGAAAGTTGTACCTATGTGGAATAATGCTGCACTTTCATCCGGTGTACTAGCAAAGTACCGGTAACTCTATGGCTGCATCTAGACTGGCAAGTTTTTCCGCAAAAGCAGCTGCTTTTGTGGAAAAACTTGCCAGCTGTCTACACTGGCCGCTTGAATTTGCACAAGAACACTGACGATCTAATGTAAGATTGTCAGTGTTCTTGCGCAAATACTATGCTGCTCCCGTTTGGGAAAAAGCCCTCTTGCACAAATGTATTTGCGCAAGAGGGCCAGTGTAGACAGCTAAAAAGTGTTTTGTGCAAAAAAGCCCCTATGGCGAAAATGGCGATCAGGGCTTTCTTGTGCAAAACTGTGTCTAGATTGTCACGGACGCTTTTCCGCAAAAAGTGCTTTTGTGCAAAAGCGTCTGTGCCAATCTAGACGCTCTTTTGCGCAAATGCTTTTAACGGAAAAACTTTCAGGGTCAGGGTCCCAGAGCATTTTAATCTTTCTAATACTTTAAATTGTTTGTGTTAGTATGCCAACTATAACAATGCTGGGAAATATCTATAATACCTGACATTTTTATTAGACCTCATCCAATGCCTGCCTGAAATCAATAGAAAACCTCCTTCTGATTTGAGTGGGATTTGAACCAGCCCTAGAGCATCTTTTATCCAAGGACCTCAAATATTAATTAACCCTTCTATCACTCCTTGCAATTTACTATTATTTTCCCCTAGTTATTTTGCAGACATGAAAAGTGAAGCATAAAGTAGATAAAGCCCAGATTTTCATAAGTAAATTTTAATTTTGTGTGCATGTTCATATCAGTGCCCAATGTTGTTATTTTCAGAGATGCTAAGCACCAATAGCTGTTTTCAGGATAGCATCCCTATTCTGGGCAATACTTAAGCACATGCTTAAAATTAAGCACTTGCAAAAGTAATGCTGTGATGGCATGTCGAGGAAACCCCTGACCCTGTACCCCCATCTCCAGCCAGATGTGACTCTCAGTCGGCCAGTAGAGTAGAAGGTTTTAATTGTTTCTCAGAGATACAGCGTAGCATAGGAGCGAGGGCAGGAGCAACCTTATTCCTCTTAGGAGGAAGGGGCTTAACTCCTTTCCTTGGTCTAAAACATCCTCACTCTGCCTCATCCCCACAGCCACTTCTCACTTATACCCCAGGCAGCCCCGCCTCCTCCATTGTCCTCCTTCCAGTCTCAAGGTTTGATGTGCTGTCCCCTATGCCTCAGGAGGTGAGAGACTGCACATACTTTCCCAGTGAGTCACACCCAGCCTCCCACTCCTCATGCAGCTAGTGCTTCAGGGCCAGGTAAACTGAGGCACACCCACATCCAGCGTCACTACAGAGCAGGATAGGACCGTAGGATCACATATAACCCATAAGACAAACAGTGACTGCAACACCAGAGCGAACATAGGACTACAACAGTAGACAGCACCCACACTATGTTACAAATGCTATGAATAGGGAGGACTTAAACCTGGCTTAAATTCTTTCCTGAATTAGGGTCTTAGAGCAGTAAGTATTCAGCATGTTATAAGATCAGCTCCAAGGCAACTAAAGGTGGACTCACAAAAACAGACAGAATTATAAACCACTTTTGAAAAAGTGGATAAAACTAAAAACAGATTCAGTTTTCCACAGTGAGGATGATTAATCATTGAAACAAGCTAGGGAGGGAAGTGGTAGATTCACCTTTGGGATACTCTGAAATTTTCCAGGGAGTACTTTAACTCATCTGGGCATTTGCCTTGTTTTTGTGTGTTTCCCCCCATTCTTCTTGTGCACAAGATTTTACTGAAAGTCAAGTGGGACAATGTAGAGGTTATTCTTATAGACTCTGCATGGCCACATCAGCACTGGTTCTGCACTTTTTTGCATGTGTCATTCGTGACCCAGTTGCCATACACACCCTTCCCAGATCTGATCTCGTAATATCACAGCCAATTGCTCCTCCCAAACCTCCTCCTAAAGTGCACACACCTGGGCTACGTCTACATTGGCCCCCTATTACGGAATAGGGATGCAAATGTAGCACTTGGGAAGAGGCAAATGCGCGGGGGATTTAAATATCCCCCGCGGCATTTTCATTTTCATGGCCGCCGCTTTTTTCCAGCTTGGAGATAAGCCGGAGAAAAGCGTCCAGACTGGCGCGATCCTCCGGAATAAAGCCCTATTCCGGAGGATCTCTTATTCCTACTTGTAAGTAGGAATAAGAGATCTTATTCCTACTTGTAAGTAGTTCTTTGTGATTCTGTCTAATTATATGGCTGTGACTATTTTCTTCCACTATTTGGTCTGAGGAAGTGGGTCTGGCCCACGAAAGCTCATCATCTAATAAACCATCTTGTTAGTCTTTAAAGTGCTACATAGTCCTGTATTTTGTTTCAGCTACACCAGACTAACACGGCTACATTTCTATCACTATCTTGAAGAACAACAGTTAAAGAAAAGAGAGTAACAGTTTTTTACCAACTGTATTTCACATTAGTTACTGGCATCATTTAAGAATATTTTCCTTTTAGGTAAATATCAGCTAAGTTAGTTCTGAATTTACTCAGTGTTGCTGATTCGAAACTTGTTGCAGTATTGTAATGATCATAGTAATGTTTTGAGTTCAATTAACTGTAACAGCTTTTTTTCTTCTATTATATCAGTTGTAATCAAGAAAATCAATTAGTCTTTAAAGTGCTACATAGTCCTGTATTTTGTTTCAGCTACACCAGACTAACACGGCTACATTTCTATCACTATCTTGAAGAACAACAGTTAAAGAAAAGAGAGTAACAGTTTTTTACCAACTGTATTTCACATTAGTTACTGGCATCATTTAAGAATATTTTCCTTTTAGGTAAATATCAGCTAAGTTAGTTCTGAATTTACTCAGTGTTGCTGATTCGAAACTTGTTGCAGTATTGTAATGATCATAGTAATGTTTTGAGTTCAATTAACTGTAACAGCTTTTTTTCTTCTATTATATCAGTTGTAATCAAGAAAATCAACTTGAGAAAATATTAAAATAATTGCACCTTATATCAAGGGATGTGGAACTGTAAAAAGTTATAATGTTTTGTGTATAAAAAAAGGCACATGACAGAGCTACAATAGTATTATATAAATAGCGATTACTGTAGTTCCTGGAGGCCCCAGTTGGGACTGAGGGTCCCCACTGTATTATGTACCAAAAAACACAGTAAAAGAAGGTGCCTACTGCAAATAGTTTAACTGCAAGAAAATTCATCTAGGGCTAGGCAAAGTACCTCTTTTAGCTATAGTTTTTTTTTTATGATTTCTAGGGAGTTGATGCTGATTTCTCATCAGAACAGAACAGAGCAGCTGCAGGAAGCATTAAGACAGAAGATTCTGAATGAAGATAACTGGAGGAAAAAGGTGATATTTTACTTCTAGTTGGTACTGTTTTTATTTATTTTCTCTATTCCTAAACTGTCTACAGAGACAGATTTAACTTCTTCAGTACAAACATGTCTATAGAATTCTTTAAGCAAAGTTTTTAGTAGATAATCTATAGACAGAGATTAAAGGCTGAATGTGAAAGATTTCGGTATGATAATAATGTTCATTTTGCACCACTTCATTGATAAATGTGATTGACCATTCTTGGCAAAGTGGAGAGAAGAGTGCTCTTCTCTACTTCTGGGCATACCAATCTATTTTAAAACCCCAAATAAAACTATAGAAGAAGAAATAATATCCAGACAAACAAAAGTTTTTGCCCATCAACCCACCATTTGTAAGTGTAAACCCAGTAGCAATTAACCAAGTGGACTGTTTTATTTAGCAAATTGTGATTTATGAACTGTTGATTCTGGAACTCTCACAAAACCAGAATTTTTCACTTTTTAATGTTTTTATTCACAGCAAATAAGTACAGAGGCCAAAGAAACAAAGAAATTCAACTGAATTCTTACCATGCAATTGAGTACTAGCTAGAGTATAATATCATGGTCATTACTTCGGGCAATAGGACAGTGAAATAGTGATGATGACTATTAAAACCTTATATTCCCTTCTGAATTCTGTTTCTGAAACATAGCTTGTCTTCTTGATATGACCCCATCACTCCCCTTACTATATCATTGCAAGTTATACACATGAATGGAGAGGAAAATGAATCCCAAAACTAGTTATGTGGTTATAGAGTCAGGGCTGGCAATAGCAACAGTTATTTTCAGTTTAAAGATTTACCTTAACAGAAATAAAAGGTAAATCCCAAAGTGCCGAGCATGGAGCTAATAATATTCCCTCAGTACAGGAGTGCAGGAGGTTCTGTTATTTGATTCTATTGCTATGTCTTCTAGTGTCTGCATCTTTAAAGGTATTTTTTGCCATTTCTGTCAAATAGTTATCCCTTGCTGACGCTGCTGTTGGTTTATACTTACCACCCCTGCAAAGTAGAGTTGTGTGGAAGAAAGGATGTCTTTTGATTACATTTAGTGTGAGAACTGTCTCCATTACATTTAAATTGATTTTGCCCTCCTGCATTTGAACTTTTTAATGATTATACAGAAGTGTGAAAAGCTACTTTCACATAACATTACTTTTTTTCTTATTTTTGAGAGGTAGTAGGATAGTGGCCAGCTTTTTTACATTTTACTTTTGTGAGGGAAAGAGAAGGTAGAAGGTATGAAGTAAAATAAGAAACTCATTAAATAAACAGATACACACACACTTTTTTGATAAGCACAAGGAGAAAAGTGAAGTGAAGATTGCAAATGAGGAAGAGGATAGTTAACAGAATGGGGCGGGCAAAGCTGGTTGCTCTGGGTAAGTTTAGGGATAAATGACCTTGAAAGAGAAACAGATTTTCTGATGTATGCTGTACACACAGAAGGTGGGGAAAAGATTAGTCTAAGAAATGTATATGGACTATGGAATTGTGAAAATAACTCAAGGATACACACAAAGAGGTGTATTCAACTCTAAGCTCCCCAAACCTATGTTACGCCAACAGAAGAGAGCTGCCTATGCAAAAAGCCAATAAGTGCATGTGGTGTGTGGACTACAGCAGGGTAAGGCAAAATTAAGCACCTCTTCTAACAGTCTACAAGATGCATACCTTCCCAGAGTTTATGTATAGTTCTAGCATTACTGACACTATTTGTGTTCCCCACACAGAGAGTCACAGGACTGAAGAATAACAATTGAAAGCTTAATAAAATAATATCTGACAGGAGCAGCAGCTGATCAAGTGGGTACCACTGAAACTTCAGAAAATACATTGTGATTCAGTTACTGACCATACTGTATGTGAAATATATAAAACTAAAGTCATGGAAATGAAAGTAAAGAGAAGAATGGTCTATTTTTACCTCTGTGTAGCTGGGTGAATGTTATACATAAAGGATCAGCCAAATAAAACTTTCACGTTTTTCAAGTTTACTTTGTTAAATTGTGAGATCCCAGTTGAAATAATACTTTCCTCATGGCCTGCTTGAAAGACTAAAAAAGCAGTAAAATATATAAACACACACATCTAAGCATAGTGAGACTACCTGTAGGACATGCAGTAAATCAGCCTCCCTACATATATAAAACACTCAATGAACCAGTTTCTTCATTGCAAAATGGCCTATAAAATACATAACTCAGCCTCAACACTAGAATAATGCACTATAAATTAGGTATGGGTAAATTGCAAAGGTTTCTAAGTTTGGTTTAGGTAAGTCAGCATAATGATCCTCCATACCCATCAATCCTGTTTTCTCCAACAGATTTTTTTGAGAAAATACATCTGCAGGGTTCTTTCCTTCTTATCTAGCTTTGTCTTATTGGGAGGAGAAACTTTTGGTATTCGAGGGGTATATTTTCTTTCCTCTGCCTCTGACAGATGTGAGAAAAAGTATACATTGACCTTTGTTTATCCTCTTGAACACGGGTAGGCTAAACTGTTTAGGGAATCTTTAAAAATATTGTGGGATGAAATACAACCTATTTAGCACAAAACGTTAAGTTTTAAGTACCAAAGTGCCCTGAATTTTTATCAACAAAATACCTTCATTTCATGTACTTATTTTTAATGTCTGCACTAGTGCTAGTTTCATTTCAATTCATCAGTATTTATTATAATCCACATATTAGGACAAGATTTTTTTATTCCTTTTTAAAAATACATATATTTGGTATATAGGTCCAGATGGGGAGGAGTATTTTCAGTTAATTTTTAAAAATAAACATATTTCTCAATCAAGTACAACGTTTTCAAAATAATATTTGAGTTATTTATATCAGTCAGAAATATCACATTCAGGCAGAGCATGTCTACACAGCAGGGCTAAACTTGAAATAAGCTACACAACTTGGGCTACGCTAATTGCATAGTTTAAGTTGAAATAGATTATTTCGACATTTGATGCTGTCTACACAGCAGTTATTTTGAAATAGAGCATGCTTCCCCTGGCTTCCCTTACTCCTCATGAAATGAGGTTTACAGAAGTCAGTGTAAGAAGCCCATTATTTCAATTTTTTTCAAAATAATGGGATTGCTGTATACAGGCCGTCCTTGCAATAAGTCCAAGATATGTTCCAAAAACTTGGACTTATAGTGAAACAACTTAAAGCGGGGAATTTTTTTCCTGCGTCTGACTTCCATTTGCACAAATTAGGGTTTGTTTGGTTTTTTTGCGCAACTTAAGAGCAAGGAATAGGAGGGCTTATAACGCATAAGTTCCTACAAGCGTCAATGACTTTAGTGCAGAACGGATGTATACTGAGGCGACTTATAGCGGGGATGCCCTGTAGATACACACTACATTATTTTGGAATAATGTCAGTGTAGACATAGCCTCAGATTTTATCCTCTACCCATGCAAATGCTCTGTATTTGTTACCATATAATATACTAAGCTATTCACACAGAGCTCATGCCAGAACTGGGGTCTAATTCAAAAACTGTAATACTCTTCACATGCTTCTCCTAATTTTACTTCACCATCCCTTCTCTCTCAATAATCTCTGGAGTCGCGGGATATGGTATCATCTCAGGAGGCTAGCTTATAACCTTTTGTAACACTGATCCAGATCATGAGGCAGTGGAATACTGTAGACTATGACTGGAATTTTGAAAGGAGCTAAGAGAACTGACTCTTCTTCTTCAAGTGATGTCTCCATGGGTGCTCTACTGTAGGTGACGGATTGCCCGGAGCCGCAGATTGGAGCCTTGCAAAGCTGTTTCCCCCGGTGAGCCACGCAGAAGGTGTCTTGCGACACTCCCGCTCAAGTGTGTTACTCTTATGGCTCAACCCCTCCCTGTCTGTTCCTTTTAAGCACCCGGGTCAGAGTGTGGAGCTTCAACATCTCTCAGCCTGTTACCTCTCTTAGTACTTCACAGTTTTCACAGTTATCATTTAGATAGCTTTAATAGTTTTATAAATAGTTAGTTTCATAGTTCATAACTTTTCCCTCGTTAATTTACCAAAAAAAAAAAATTCCCCTCAGGATTTGAATGCGGCTTTGCCATTCAGTGGCAGAGCGAACCAGGCTTCTACCGGCTCTTCCCCTTTCTCAAAAAAGAAGAAGAAGAAGAAGAAGAAGAAAAGGCAAAAAGAAAATAAAGAAGTATCACCTCAGACAACTTAAGATGTCAGGCTCTTTGGGCTTCAAAAAATGTCAGGAGTGCCGGTAGCCTGTGCCAGTATCGGATGGCATTCATTATGCATACTGTGCTTGGGGGAAACCCACACACCGCAGTAATGTGACCATTGTTCTTCCCTCATGGCGAGAGCCAGAAAAGATAGAGAGCTCCGCCTCAGTATTATATTATTCGATAAGACTTTGCAGCCTGCTGAGACACAGAATGCCTCCAGACCACGGGAAGACTTGCCACAAAAGAGAGCTGCTTCCCTGAACCCTGGCAAAACTTCAAAAAAGAGAGCCTCATCATCACACTCTCTTCACCTTTCCTCCTCCCCAAGAACAAGCAGGGGGGAGAGACAGGGCACCTTGGGGACCTCTGCCACCAAAGAGGCGGGGAAAGCCTCAGCACTAACACTGGGACTGGTGCACGCTTCCTCGGTGCCTACAGAAGCTCAAGAATGCTCTGTATCTACAGCACCACGTGAAAAGCTGCGCTGCCGCAAGGAAAAACGGCTCACTCTCCAGCTACAACAATGCTGCGTGCTCCTACACCCATGCCGAGGGTGCACACAGACCAGCAGCTGAGGTGGGCAGCAATGGAGATGCTGCAATTAACCGCTGATAATCAAAACAGACATCAGCACTCATGCCCTCCCTCTGCAGGTCTATCACCTGCAATGTCTTCAGCGCATGGCTCTCCACATATGCCAAAATACCCAGTACTTTCTCACCACAGTTCTTTACCAGATGATGACCAGATGACTGCATTCTCTTCACGGCGTGCATCACCTACTGGG